CCCCCCCCCACCCAAATTTCCAGGGATTTTGTTAATGTTTTTTCTGCCTCTATTCAGAGTATAGGACTCCGATCACTGAGGCTTTCCCCAGGCACTTGCACAAACTTTAGAAACAAAGGATGTGACATTGTGAATGTCTTTGCTGCCCCAGACTCTGGATAGAAACATAATGGAAATCTCTCTGTTTAGGATTACTGGCGAGTGTCACTACAGCTATACATGTTGTATTTGTTTTAGCTTGGGAAAAAGGAGCATATTGCAGAGAAGAGCTCACCTTCAACTAATAAACACGGAAAAGAATCTGGAGAAACTATGGAAAGTGCAAGAAAAGAGAAGGTAAGTCATGCCTTACTGGTTTAGCTGCTATTATAAAATGAATGAAAGTCAGCAGATATTCTGAATTGAAATGCTAAACCCCAATGAAAGTCATTTCTGAGATTTTCTGAGGGCCTGTTTAGGTACATTTACCTCCTCTTGACCTCTGCATCAAGGGAGAGCTGTTCTGAGGTCTTCAGAGGCTCTTTTTTTAGTTGCTCTTTCCTTGTGTAGTCTGCCTCGCATGCATAGCACTTGGCAGTGGCAATTAACTGTAACGTATGCCTGAAAGGACTATCTTAACTCTGCACGCGGTGTCCAAAAATAGGGCATGATTGCTTTGCAACTGAAGAGGAAGGTTTCAGAGAAGAAACCTTTCCGGAACGGTGGGATTAAATGGATGGCAGAGAACTCTTTAAAAAATATATATATTTCTGTTTGATTGAATGATGTCTTTTCCAACACTGAAGTAGCATGGAGCAATATCTTTGGCAATTCTCTAGCTTCATATCTTTAGAGTAATGGGTTAATGGTTATGGAAGCTATTGCTATCTCTTACAGTAGGAAACTGATCTCCCTTCAAGAATAGTATCTACACTCTGAGTGTTAGTGCCATCCCAAGGCTCTAGGAGAAATTATTTCAAATAACCAAACAGGGGAAACCATAGATATTTTAATCTTTTATGTGCATTAGGAAATTCCAGGAGCTGAATTCAACTTGTTGCAAGTACGCATTAAAAATAATTATGCCTTAGAATTAATGCAGTTCTCAAAGCCAGTCCTAATGTTTTGGAACAAAAGTCCACTGTCCAATACTGAGCATTTAACAACAACCACACTGCAGATTTGGGGAGTTTGGCATTCATCTCCTATTTCAGATGACAACCATCTTAGCATCTTTCTGAAAGCTAACTTTCCCACAACTTAAGTCGGGTTGTACCAGCATGTTTTTGGCAAAGGGTCCTTGATGGTGGATAGAAGTGACGGTAGTAGATGACCACTTACTTGTTACTCGAGGACATAAAAGAGTACCTAGAACAGGGGTGGCCAACCTGCAGCTCCAGAGCCACATGTGGCTCTTAATATGCGTCTCCTTGAATGTTTGCACAAGCACATGGTGCAAATGGAAGCTGGTCACCGTATGCTGGTGCAAAGATTCAAGGAGACGCCATATTAACTTCTGACAGGTTGGCCACCCGTGACCTAGGTGGTGTCATAATATGCCCATAGCACACCTCAGCAGCATTTGTGTGGCCATTGTGAAATGGCTTGTGTATATATGCATCTGGATACATTGAACAACTCTTAGGAATAGTAGGACGTCAGAAACGGCTGGTCCAAAAGCATCACTTATCCCAGCCCTAACGCCTGTATAGATAAGATGCCATGACTGCTCTCTTTCCCAACTTTTCTGTTACAGGAGCGAGACTGGGAGAGTGAAAGCGAGATGGAAGGTGAGGCCTGGTATCTGACTAACATGGAAGAACTAGTAACAGTGGATGAAGTGGGAGAAGATGATCTTATTATGGAGCCTGATATAACGGAACTTGAAGAAATCGTTCCGGTTGATAAAGATAAAACAAATTCAGAAATGTGTCCCTATGTGTCTGCCATTTTAGAACTGAAAAATGACTGTAGCCAATTAAATAGGAGTGATGGCATATTTGCCCATGAAACTATAGACCCAAATTTTGTGTCAGCAGAGGAAAGCATAGCAGCTTCCAGTGGCTGTCAAGAAAATGATGATGCAGTTACTAAAGCATCAAGCCTAAATCCGGACACTGAACAGAAGCCAGATAAATTGCAAGCAGACAAACTTCATAGGGATTCTAATTACCATGATAAGGAGAGGAAAATGGAAGAAAGCTGTGACTTAAAACCAGAAGATCCCCATAAACCATCTGATCATCCGAAAGAAGAGACCCTCCAGCTCCCTGACCAGTTTACGGATGATTACAAGCAGATGGGATCACAAGAAACGGAGAGCAGAGAAGTCATGGAAATGCTTGTGAAAAGCACCATTGAAGAAGCAAGCCAAGGAAGCCAGGAGTGTCAAGAGACCAAGGGTAACTGCTGCTACTATGTTTGATTTTCTTTCAGTCGAGAATTCTTGTGAGTTCTCTCTCTCAGTGCAGCGTTCAAGAGTTTAATCTCTTGCTAACAAGAATTCACGCTGCTGATGGTATGACTCGCCCTTGGGCTGGCTCAGTTAAAGAACCACACTTCCATACGCCAAGTTAAACCATTAGAGGCTTTTAGTCAAATGGTGTCAAAGAAATAAAAGCCACTTTTAAGCTTTCTGCAAAGCATTATCAGCCATAGCTGTCACACCTGGGTTCATGTAAGTTGAGCTGAACTCTTGGAGCCTTCTGCTGAAAGCACGTTGAATTGTCAATGAAAAGTGACAGTTCTTGCAGATCAAAAAGTATTAGAAGTATCTCTCAAGCCTGCCTTACTCCTACCCACATAACAACTTCAGGGTCTGTACTTCTTACCTGAAATGCAAATATGACATGGAAATATTTTGTGGATGAATATTTTTCATGCAAGTAGCCTCACTTGTTGTAGAGACCTGAATTACCATGTACAATTATTTCTTGTTTGTTTCTTCTACTATAACATGATAATTCAGTGCCAGAACACAGATATACTAGCAGAATAAGCTTAATTATACCTGCCTACTAACAATAGCTATTAGGAAAAAACAGCTTCAGTAGTCTGACATTTCCCAGTCATGTTCCTATTTCCACATAGCATCAAATCTAGATCAAGTGATGGTCAAACCTGGAGTCTTACAGCACATAGAAGAGTATGTGCTGCAAGACACAGTTCAGTTCAGCTCCATGGCTGCTACTCTAGCCTGAATGATGGAGGTTGGGAAGAGTAACTGGTTGGAGATGTTCTGATTGGAAATGCCGTCAGCTCATCTGTTTGGCTACAAGGCAGTCTGCCAGTGCCCATGTGCTTGGGGGCAGTACTGCCTGGTGAACTACCTGGGGATCAAAGGCACTAATGCTTCAAAAGTCTTAGGCCAGCTGTTTCCCTAGGCTTTCCCATTCCCTGTGCAACCTGCTGGGTTGCAGCTCGCAGCCTGAAAATCCTTGGGGCACTCGCCCTTTCCACAAAGCCTAGCATGTTGGCTTCTTTCTCTGAGCTGGGAGCATGGAAAGCCTCTGGGTAAAATCGGCCCCCTCAGGCTAGGCTGTAGTCTGCATAGCAGCAACTTGGAGATCCTGAGTGCTCCAGTTCAAGGTGGGGCTTGCAGGACTTCACAGCTTCCTGCTGCTGACCTGGGGCCTGGAAATCCTGGGAAGAGCTTGATGGTCACGCAATAGCTGACCTGCCAGAAGTCAGCAACTTGTGTCTGGAGAAAGCAAATAATACAGATTCTCAAAACATTGCAGAGAGGTTTGTTCTGAACTAGGGGTGGGCAAAATGCGGCCTGCCAGGCCATTCTATCTGGCCCGCGGGGCCCCTAAAAAATTTAGAACATTAATATTTACCTGCCCCGGCTGCCTGTCATGCAGTCCTCGATGTTTGCCAAAACTCAGCAAGCAGCCCTCTGCCTGAAATAATTGCCCGCCCCTGTTCTAAGCCAGAAATGCAGAACTCTGAATGCCAGCCCTGGGAAGGTACAGGGGGCTGGTTCAGACCCAATATGTTTCTTTTGTGAGAGTGCAGTCCTCACTCAGGTAAAATTCCCAGTGTGGTAGGAATTTTGCTAGACTAAAGACAGCCGAGGCTAAAACCGCAGCCTGAGAATCAGGATGGCTTATTCTTAATTTTGTATCTCAATAACAAGGCCAGGGATCCTGAATGCTTTTATGTTTAGAAAAGAAAAGAAAATTTTCAGGCTTGGAAAGGAGGGAAAGACCATTTGTTCTAAGCAGGCTTAATCCTTCTTGGCAAATGAACACACTATTTTTCTGAATGTTAAGTCTGCTGCCTGCATGTATTTAACATGAATAGGGACCTACCAGCGGTTTTACAGATTTTGCAGAAACCATGAAAAACCATGGGAAATTTGGCAGTGGCTTCAATTTCCTGCTAAATCAACCAAAAAAAGTGGTAGTGATGTAGACTGAGTAAAGGCATCTTCTGCCAGTCAGTGGCAAGAGGCAGGGCCACCATGAAATGCCCGTGAAATTGGCTCTGCATGCTGCGAGCAGGATGAAAAACCCATTTTCTCACCATGTCTTAGGTAGGTCCCTAAACATGAATACAAAATAATGGTATTTGTAATACAAAATAATGGTATTTGTCAGCAGCCCTTTTATATAAAATGCCACAAGTACCAGTAAGAGCATTCTCTCTCTCTCTCTCTAACGACACTAGGCAATTAGATGGAAAAGTTCAAAAGCAGCAAAAACAAGAAACTGTTTACAGAAAACTTTATAATTAGGATGGGAGTTTCTTTTTGGCTAGCTATTGTCAGCCGCATGGTATTAAACTGAATGGGCATCATCTCTAGGTCATGTTTAGCATCTGGCTTCATCCAAAAAGTGGTTTAGATGGAATTGTAAAAGCTACGGTTTTCATTCAGTGCATTTGTTTGTCTGTTAAGCGAATTCTAGATACACAGAAATGAAATCTCCCGAATACTCAGAGGTGGAATCTAAACAAATGCATCCTTCACCGGCCTGGGAACAAGAGGACGTGTTCACAGAACTCAGCATTCCTCTAGGTAGGTTTAAACATACGGACCTTGGGAGCAGCATTCCTTCGAAGCTGCGTGGTGTGCATGGCTGTGCAGGCACACTTATGTCATGCTGCCAGGTGTACCTGCACGGCCGCGCACACCACACAGCTTAGAGGGAATGCTGTTCATGAGTCTGAGACTTTACCTATTACAATACCTTGAACTTGCAACAAGATGTCACTTGAAGGCTGCTAACTGCATTTATTTGTCAAAACAAATTACAGGAGAGTTGGAAGAGAGAGGTATAGGTAAGAGGGGCTTAAACAATGAAAGAACTGGGATTTTTATTCCAGATTATAATTATAATTGTTTAGGACAATAGGGATATCTGTTAATGGCACTGATGAACTGAAGTAAGCACCTTTGGTCTTTGGTGTCTAAAGCATAGAAATGACACGGGATATGTCTATACTCCCCAAGAAGCAAAGCAAATTAGCCAGCACTGAGCTCTGTGCTGTTGTGGCTAGGCTGCTAACAGTAGCCCAACTAAATAGTTTAAAGCTAGCTCAGGTATCTCTGCACTACACTGCACTTCCTTTTGGGACTCTAGTGTACACCTATTCACATTCCTAAGGAAATTGGTTGGCCTTTGATAGGAGCATTGGTCAGTGATAAGGAAACCTTAAGAGTGGAGTGATCTTCTCATTTTCTCTCTAAAAGAAGGAGCTTTACATACAATTCAAAATCTTGTGACATAACAGTACTTTGTGATTTAGCTCCTAAAATTACTGATTATATTACACAAGCAAAGATCAGCAGCAGTACACATGGTGTGATCTGCACTAATATTGGCATTCTTGTGGATGGTTTGCATAACGTGCACATAAATTTGCCAAAAGTAAGGATTGTAGCGACAAGATCATCCCGTTAGGCAACAAGACTATTTATGTCCAAAAACTCAACTCCATGTATTATCTGAAAAATGTTTAAATGGAAATACATATAATATATAAAGGAAAAAGTATATAATGCATATTGGAAGTTTGCAGGTTTAAAGTTGTAATTTTTAACCGTTGTTGATGGATATTTCAGCATTTGAAGTTCCTTTAAGTGAAATGGAAAATATTACATGTGGGAATTAGCCGTCTTTACCCCTTACTTAAATCATGGGTTTTTTCCTCTTGAAAACCAAACCCTAAAAGTACACCTGCCATTTTAATGTGATTCAAAATCCTTCAACAGGTATGGAATTTGTGGTGCCCAGAACTGGGTTTTATTGCAAACTCTGCGGACTCTTCTACACAAATGAAGAGACAGCCAAAACAAGTCACTGCAGAAGTACTGTTCACTACAAAAATCTTCAGGTAAAACCAACTCATCATTAGCTTCATATAAGTAATGGTTTGGATGGTGTAAAAATGTCAGGGCGCTATAAAACAGCTTCTTCATGATTCACACGCAACTCAGCAGCATGGGCAGAGTTTGTATGGTGCCAGGGACTAGCACAGTAGCCTGTAACCTCCAGAGTCCTGAGATTCCCTCGGGCAAATCCAATTCCTGTGTTCTCAGTCAAGGCTGAAAATTAGTACAGCAAAATCAACTTGAATGCCAGTTTTAAAAAGAAGAGTTTCAAATACTGCCTTAGCTGCTGCTTGCTCAGCTAAGACTAGTCTGTTACTATCCTGACCCTACACAAAAATTTGAAAACAGAGCCAAGGACAACAGTGTAGTAGGGCACATGGCCTTTTGTGTGCACATGCCTCAGCATACCGGGCTTCACCGAAGATGCCTGCTGGTCTGGCTCACATCATTCCCATGAGTGCCAGCTTCCCTGACTGGTGGATGGACTCACACAGCATCTGTAAAGGGATCCTTTTTTGTCTTCCTGCACCATCTACGTCCTGGTCACAGGTAACTCAACTGTATTCATCTGAAAAGTCTGTAGTTTTGGACTCTCCAATCAACTCCAGAGCCTCCTTACACATAAGTCTAGGGAACTAAGAGGGATATATTGAACATGTGAGTCATTTCTTCCTGCTACAAAGGGCTGCATAATGCAAGTACTGATGGACAGCACAGCTGCTATGGGCTGCTTGAACAGGGAGGGTGAACTGAGGTCAATTCTGCTGTCAATTCCAGTGGTAGAATTTCTATATCCATAATGGCATCGTACGAAGAGCAATTTCTCAGCCTGGGGTGAGGAAACCCCCAGCTGTTACCTGCAGCAGAAATTTCTCTTTCTAATTAATGGTCTCTGAATGATGAAATAGTGGCCAATATATTTTGCAAATAGGATTCACTCACAGTCCAGCTTATGACCACCTATCTGAGAAACAGATGCCAAGGATACCGCACCAGGGCAGGTCAAAGTTTAGACTGCTTTATGGATGCATGTATACTTGCTTAGTTAGGAGAATTTCTATATGCACTCCCAATATTGCTATTCTAATGGACTCTGAAGTCTGTACTGTGACAACTGTTTGGGAACTATCTATAATGGAATTACACACGCACAATCATCCCAAGGAGAAGACACGATGACTTATGGCCTCTGTCCCTATTCTTTTGGATGTGTTTTGTTCGTGTGTGTACCGAAGACTTCCTCCATCCTGCCTCTTGGACAGTCGGCACCAGCATGCCACTTTGAAAGAACTGAAAAGTAATTACTGCAGCCAGGACCTTTTTAGCCCCTGGGCAGAGAGTGTATGGTCAAATATGTCAGCATTCTGCCCCAACAATGCTACTAACAGTACTAGCCTCCATCTGCTTTTGCACAGGATGTCTAGTACAGGATATATAGTAAATCATAACAGTGAGTGATTACACTGAACCACTTACAATTTTTATAAAAAGTATTAGCAAAATTTCCTATATTATCCACACCTGTTACACAATTTAAGAACTACTCCAATATAAATACAATCTGGGCAAAGTTTGATTTAGAAATGGACCAGCTTCTTCCTACTGTCGCTCCAAAACAATAGACTTGTCTTTGCAAGCTGAAGAATAGTCTTGCTCCACCTCCCATTTAAGCTGCACATATGAAACATGAAGAAGTGAACCAGTCTGAACTTCCCTCTCAAAGATGAAGGTCGTGAAGTTATGAGTCTGTGCCACATATATTAGTCTCACACACAGACACCACTGAAAGAAGAGACATGTGGCAGGTGAAAGAGTGATCATGTGCATGTAGCAGTATTGCCACAGGCATCCTTTTTCTCTCACTGAGGCTGCATTTTTGGGTAACTGATCCAACACCATAGCAGTTGCACATACCTGGAGAAATATGTGGCCTCATGATGACTGGTGGCATTAACAAACCGAAACAGATGAATCTGTTTAAGGCATTGAAGGAACTGGCATTTACTTGGCTGAGATCCACAGGGAGGAGCATTTTACCAGTTGTTGGGTTTGTGTTCCCTAATGACACTCCAGTGATTCTTGTATACAGTGCATGCCATGTAATCGTGTATACAAGCCTTTAATCAGACAGGGTCTCAGGGGTTGTCTTAGGGATTTGGCCCATGAAGCCATTGGATCTGGCCCACAGTTGCTGGGGAGCTTGGCCCATGCTACAGCCAGGCCATGGGGAAAAGTGGTGGTAAGAAGAAGTGGCGCTGGTGGCAGCAGCAGCAACCAGGTCCTTACACCAGCTTACCTCCAACCTGAGCCAAGTCATTCCATCTACTGCTAGGAAATGTTGCTGGCCACTGGTCTAGATTACTATATAGATGCCTTCCATGATCCTCACTGGACACTGCTGCATCACTTCACCTACAATTTTGAGTGCCAGTTTCTCAGCCCAGGGCATTCCCAAAAAGTCAGAAACTTCACCAACTGCATATGTATTTTATGATCAAATTTACACCTGCACTGTTGGCGTTAGATTCCATCATTTAAAAGCAACTCAAGACAGGCAATGTGGGAGCCAGGCTGTTTGATCTTACCAGTGGTTTATTGTTGCCTTAACTTCTCCTTCCCTTAAAATGAATAGACTTGCATGCACAACTATTTAACTTATACATATTAAATCAGAAGCTGCATTTGTTCTCAGCATTATTTTATTCTGTATTCTAGCTCCTTGGTGGAGCTACTCCTACTTTACTCCATTGCAAGCACAATTGATCTGCACAGTCTGATTGTAGCAGGGAGCTTGGTACTCCTGCTACTCTAAAGGAAGGCAGGCTGCAGAAAAAGCAGGTTACAGGTGAGGCAGAGGGCAATCAGGGGAACTACATGACCCAAAAAGGGGCTGGGCTTGAAGGATATAAACTCAGGGCTTAATTTGGACAGGCAGTCTAGCCCTGAGAGTCATGGAGGGAAGAGCTCCTGAGGCTGCAAGGGGAGCCTCTGATAAAGCATCTAAACTGCGTGGAAGCACCAGTGGTTTAGGGATTGAGACTGTAGGGGTGGTGGAGGTCCCAACCGGCCCAGGAGCACGGCCAAGACCCGAGGGATAGGGGCCAAGGCTGAGAAGCAGGGCCACAGCCAAAGAGGGGTGAGAGCAGGCAAGGTCAGGGACCTGCAGCTCAGGAGGGGCGAGAATCAGGATCAGGGACCCATAGCCTGCGAGGGGCAAGAGCTAGGTCAGGGACCTGTAGCCAAGGTGGGGTAAGAACAGGCAGGACCAGGAGGCCCATAGCTCAGTCTGTTGGAGCTAATGAGGCTTAAGCCCAGGAGGGGCAGAGAAAGTAGCCCTGAGTCCCAGAGGGTTGAGATGGGTCGAGGTACAAAGGCCCAAGCCCAGGAGGGGCTGGGATGGTTAAAGGCACACGGGCCAGAGGTCTCAACAGTGGTAGACTATTCCAGGTTTAGAGGCCCGCATTGACAGGAGTTAACGCTGGGGCTGAAGGCCCACGGATGAGAGAGTGACTGGATTGGAAAATGGGGCTTAACACCCAACGATTGGTAACATCCACAAGGCTTTGGGCATGGCCATAAGGATAGATGAGGTAGTCACATAAGTAGCCCTTAAGCCCATGAGCAGTGATAGCTTTGTTCACGAGTACAAGACCTCGTTCGGGGAGCCCTGCGGCAGCCTCCCTTTTTTTCTTAAAAGCATGGTTCTATCAAAAGTGTGGCAGGCGAGCTGAAGGGGAGATGGCCTAAAGATCGTGGAGGTGACAGGGTGTAGGCATTGCTCCACGGGCGACTGAGCGTGGAACAAGAAGTGAGTTCTCCCGAACTGTAGTTCTCTCCTGGCTCTGCCATTGATTCCCTAGGTGGCACCCAGCAAGTCACTCCGTTTCTCTGTCTTGTCAGCATTAAGGAAGTTTACTGTGAGATAGCTATATTTGATGTAGATGTAGGGATAAATTCCCTTAATGTAGACGGGGCTTATGTGTGTTTTCTACCTCCTGGGAGCATTACAGGAGTTAGCAAGAGTATGCTAACGCTGTAAATAGCTGTGCGCCAAGTATCATCAGTCTCCATAATGACACTCTGTTTTGATTTGATGACAGAAGTATCTTTCGCAACTTGCAGAAGAGAGTCTGAAAATGAACGAACAAGACAGCAGTCTGCCACAGGACGACACTGGAATTGTTCCTCGCTTTGAGAAGAAAAAGTTGTGATGCCAACGAAGAATTGGAAATGGGTGAATGCCAATATTTCCTTGTTGATCTCTGACGTGACCGTCGATTTGCACTGTACAGGGGAATGGAAAGCACAATAAAGAGCATGTTCCATGCATTTATGCCCAGAGTGCCCTTAAAAAAACAAAATGCCTGAAATAGTTTCCCACGGTGAAGCAGTGCTGGCATATCTCTAACAAGCGGAGCTATTCTTTCTCACACTCTGCACGTTGGGAGCAGCTTCCTGCATTAAATTGGATTCTCAGGGATTCTCAGCGTTTTCATTCGGGTGTTGGAGCATGTTGGGTCAGGCTGAGTATTTAGAAGTGTCTAGCGTCCTCCAGTGGAAATAATCAGAAAGGAAATGTCCGGAGTGAAATGAGCTTTAATGTTGTTGAAACAGTATCCTTCGCTTCACTCGTTGCCGTAACGAATAATAAGTTATGTATGCAAGTCCTAAATGAATGATAAACATTAGATGGCCCAATGTAAACTCCAGCTGCATCTGTGCCTTAGAGAAGTATTTTATGTCTGTAATGTTAGGACGTGAAGTCAGTGTCATATAGAGGAAGGTGCAATTTCTGTCCCAGACATCTTGCAATCTAAATCCAGTGCAGTTAAATTGCATAAACTGAAGATTAATCTCCTTCATGTTCCTTCATATCCTTTATTTTCCATTCTCTTTCCTATCTGGTGGCCAGGCCACTCTTCAGCCATTTCTGATTTTGAAAACTTTCCTTCAGAAAATTCTAAAAAGCGTGCTTTCTCCATCTTGGATTAAGCTCCCACAAAACGCTTTATAAATGCCACATACTCGGATCACAGTGCTTGTTGAACTACAAGTCTATCCTTGGTGTGTTTTATTTTAAACGTGTTTTTCTAATCTCGGCAACCTTGTATTTCCTGTTCTTTATGGAATTTGGCCAACGCTGTATTGACATTTTCTGTATTTTATTCTCCTGCTCTTTTTTATGGCAAATATAACAACTCACGGTTCACAGAATGCTGCAGTGAGAACACAGGATGCACCAGCAGCTCTGATGTTATTATGTGCCATTGTTTCTGCAGAGTGTTGTGCTTAGTATTATGCACAGCCCCATTGAAACGCAGCTTGCAAATTTCAGATTAATTTCAATGGGGCTTTGTGTAGCAAAGTGAATGTCTGACAACCCTTGCCAAAAACTGATCCTGGAATTACACCTTCACAAAATGCACCCGAGAATCCAGACAGATGGTCACTCTGTGTTATAGAGGGTTGGAAAGTTTTTGAAATTTCAGTGAAAAATGGGGTGGGAGATTTACAAATTCCCCCCTTCCCATTTTTTGCCCACTTCTGCAGTCAATTCCATTGAAATTTCTGGGATTGGATGCTTAGCTTCTAGCAGTAGGTGGTGGATGTGGGAAATCTTTTTTTCCAGAAAGGCTCCATCCTTGAGAGCAACATTAATACTACAAAACAATGCAAAATATCCAGCTCCTGAAACTGCTCCCACCAAAATGCTTGTTTCACATAACCAGTACCATCAGCTGTATCCTTCTGCCCCTGGAATAGCTTTCGTCACAGCGCCGTCTCCCATAGCTCCATTTTGTTGTTCACTGAGGTCCCATTTGCCTGGTGCGCATGTGCCTTCATTTCAGCAAGATAGTGCAAATGGCAGATTTTGTATCCTCACTTCTCCAGAGGTCAGGGATTCTTTGGAGATTAGATTTGGAGCTGGCTTATTGGAAAGAGATACAATAATGAGGTGCAGAGATGAGCTTCCCTGGCTTCTGGATATGTTTGGATTTGGGCTCATTTTTCACCTAACACAGGATTTTTATTCTTAAAAATCATGAAAAACAAACGTATTTTGCTACACACATTCTTATTATATTATAATAATATTTGAATTCAGTGATATAGGTGCAAGTGTGTATTGGAAGGTATAGAAATTATGGAAGCAACTTCCCTGCCTTCCCTGTCCAAAGCGGCTAAGGTACTTTGCACAGACGGACTGAACAGAATTACCCACATGACCTTGCAGCACAGTAGGTCCAGGGGAAAATTGCCCAAGTGTAAGCACCTGATTTTTATATAGAAAATGATTACCCCACTGGGGCCAAGATTACTGGCAGATAGTGGCTCCATCTGGTTGGGCTTGATGCGGATGGGAAGAAGAGCTCATGATGCGCCAAAGCCACCTGCTTCTAGCAATTTATCCTCAGCCCAACAGAAGTAAGAAAAGAAATGCTTTCATTATTGTTATTAAGATTATTTATTTATATTGCAGTCGTACCTGCAGATCCAGCCCCTTTGCTCTTGGCACTGTGCAATCACAAGTGTTCCTAGGCCCAAAAGACAGCTATTACTTTGAGAATTTTACTTTCCTTTATTTCCAAAATCTGCACATTTTAAAAGCAGGAGAAAACCAACCCTAAGTCTTAGACTAAATACTAACAATCTGTGCAATCAGTTTTCAGCCCAGTGCAATTTGAGATGAAGTCCTTCTCACCAAACAGGCTTTCATGACAATGCTGACAGGTGCATCACTCCGAGACAGCTCTCTCACCTGTCCTGCTGAGAGTCAACACATCTGGAAAGGTAGCTTACTTGCCTCTCTCAGCTACTGTAAAATATGTTGTTTCTTTTTTTTTGGCTTGCTATATTTAAAATCTGAAATTGAATCTAAGATGTATTATTTTTTTAGTTGGTATAGATCTTCACAAATATCATTTTCACTACTTATATTAATATATATACAGCAGCAAGCAGTTTCAAGTCTAGCCAAAAGTTATTTATTATTATTTAAAGAAGAGCTTCCTCCATATTTATGAATAATCTCAACATGTCTCAACCAAAGATTTCACTTTTTAAACAAGGAGTGTGTTTTAGTCTGTGCAAAACCTTGATGGATTTCAAACAGTCTTTCATGTCAAATGCAACTTGCTTTTTCTGAGGTAAAAATAAAATAAAATAATTGAAACATTGCCCCATAAGACTTGACAAATTGTAATACTGGCTTGAGCACTAAATGAGTGTCAGGCTGGTTATATTCAGGGTTTTTCTATTTTCTAACTATTAAGGCTGTGATTTGTTGAATTATACTTGAACTGGACCAGACGTACTATTTATTGAGCTTATACAATCTTGTTAATTTAAGTTTTGGCTTGTAAAACATTGGAAAGTGTTAGTTCTTGTTGAATTATGTAGGAATTGTCACCAGCAGTAACTGATCCGTGTAACTGATTGCAAAGCATTTCAATTTGTGTTTCTTAAAAAGAATGATTTTAATAAAGAGACTTTTAAAGCATGCTCTGCGGGTGGTAATTGCCACAACGGTAAATTGCACTTGTTTTTGCCAGAGAAAAATCCATTAGAAACCTACATACATAAAGCAGAGAACTGGCATGTGCTAGGAACGGAGGGCAAGAATACCTGCTTGCAGATATACTTTTCAAAAAATGATCATCCTTAGAGGTGCCATGCCCCCAATACCCATATTTTAATGAATACCTCTCAGAATGTGGCTCTCTAATGACTAAAGCTGTTCCTCATCTCTGCCTTATCACCCTTCAAACTCATTAGGGGAGCTTAATCTCCAGCTGCTTACAGCTGTTGGCACTCCTCCCTCTACCTAGATTTCCTCCCATTCTTCTATCTTTTTCAAAACATTGTCACCAAAGGCCCCTTTCTGGCCGACTCTCATGTGTCTACTCTACCCACATCCTGCTTGTCCTCCCTGTCACCTTGATGACGAAGTGAGCTTCAGCCCACAAAAGTTTGTGCTCCATATATGTATCTTATTTAGTTAATCTGCATATATACCCTTCCGTCTGACTCTCCTGCTTGACATCTCCTCCTCTGGCTTTCATTGCACTGGTCTCCTCTCAGTCGGCCTGTCTCTGGCTGTTCCTTCTTGTTGATGGGTCATCTTCTGTGCTCCCAGTTTCCCAACTGGGTCTGCAAGGTGCACTGCTAAGACCAATCCTTTTCTCCTTTTACATCTTTTCTTTGGGTAACATCACCCACCAGGAATCTACGGGAACAAACACCCAAAGAAGAATCAGTCAGTTAAAGGGTAAGTAACTGTTCATTTTCTGTTATCTCAACTGAAAAATTATAGAAAGTTGTAAGAACAAAAGCAGTGGGAGAAGCCTAGCATACTGAATCTGTTGAGATTTTACTGGGGGGGAAACGAGACAAAAGGAGCTATCAAGGGAGGAGGCGGAAAGAACCAATGAAACCAATCTATCACCTTTTGGATAGCAGGTTGTGTTTGCTGATTTTTGTATAAATGGGGACTGTGGCAATGGCAACAGTCAGTGAGGTACAAACAAAGACAGCTTGCTTGTGAGGCCCAGGTTATGCTTAACACACTAACACAGCTAGATGAGTGAACCCCACGTGTAGATGCAGTGCCCGTCAGCAACAGCTTGCACAAAATCTCTTCTGTCTTGGGCTTTATCTGTACTTGAAGGGGTTTGCCAGAGCTCCTTGGCTAGTATAGTTATACTAGAAAAACTTGTAAGGTGGAGACTTAACTTCTGCTGGTAAAAAAGAGTCCTTAGGCAGTTATAGCTTGCTTTGATATTAGGAACTGGTATTAGCTACACTAGATCTTAGAGCGGGTTTATGTACTGGCTAGTTTTCTTATGGCCAACATATGTGTAATACCTAGGAGTCCTGCTCACAAACTCTGGAACAGTATCATGACATCACAAATGCGATATTACTGATAAGAAATGCAGAAATCTAGAACTTTTGGTTCAGAAATTATACCTTTTATTAGACCACCTAGGAAATTGCAAAAAACCCACAAAAACTCCTTTTCTGCAAGCTTTCAAGCTCAAATGCCCTTTGTCAGGCTCTGGGAAAATCAAAGATGGTGAGAAGTCCCCTTAGTTAGGAAATAAACTTCATTTTTGTGCAGAGGGAGCTGGAGATGGAAAATCTGTCCCTCTGGGTCCATGAGAGGTGCCTCTGTGAGTTGTTCTGATATTATTATATTACTGATAAGGCACAGTGCCTCCTGGAAGCTCTTCTTTGTCATTCAGGAGCATAGGGGGAAGGTTAAGTAGCCACTTTACTTAGGTTTTAGGATTCTCCACACAGAACTCTATTAAATATAATGTAAAACTATCTGATGGTTCAGTGGCAGCAGCATCTCTGCCACATGAGAGCTCTGGAGCGGGACCTTCAGAACCCGAACTCAGCCACCAGGAATGAGAAAGCAGCCTGTCATCAGTCCTCCTCCCCCAGATGTGAATGTTGGTGGCAATGATGCGAGGCCCTGAGTGAGAATGCAAATGTATTTGTGTACAAGGGCACAGAGAGGGCCTTCCTGAAGAGCAGAGAAAGGCCATAGCTTCCCTTGAAGTTGTAGTCATTTTACAGATGGGGAAACTGAGGCGCAGAAAAAAGTAACCCCTCTGCAGTCACACTGTCAATTGGTGGCAGAGCCAGGAATAGGAACTCAGGTTTTCTGACTCTCCAGTCCTCTTTCATAATACTGCTTTGACCTCTTGTAAATGAGAAAGATCTTGTGACTGAAGTGGTAACAGATGGTTTCGGTTCCTCTCCTCAGATGACTTTTAAATCGTGGTTTCAACATTGAATCAGAAAGAGAAGTTAAGATGCGTGATTCACTGCTAGTGTTCTTGAGATTTCAGAGCAGGGAGTTTGTTATTGTCGGGTGAGGTGTTTTTGTATCTAGCCATTTAGGATCTACAGTTTGGATGTATGATCTTGCTTACTCTTTTGAACGTTCGGTGATTGCAGCCAGGACTTTCCCACCACTGTAGGGTTTGGTTTTGTTTTTTACTTGCCTTAGAAGGAAACTCAGTGCCAACAGATTCCAAGTACGAGTGCACCCGCATGCTAATGGCAGCTTTGCCTTTAAAATCAAGTCAGCAGTTGACTTCGTCTTGGCACCTGTCTTAATGCTATGCCCTTGCCTGATGTTGCAAGGCCAGGCTTGTCTAATAATGAAATGAGAGACCTCCAAGGAAAGCCAAGATGCTGCAGGAATCAGTGGAGGCGACTCGAGAGAGGAACCCGCTGCTGTTAAATCTGCTTGTTCCGTGGACAAGTTTAGGTAACACCATCAAGCGCCCCAGAGGTTTGTTTCAGCCCCTTCTGGTTGATCTTACTACAAAAGAGTGCTCTGACTGCCCCTGGGGAGTTCATTTGGAGCAGGTGGAGAACTAGGATTCAGGTTGGCAAACCAACCTAAAGCACAAGAGTTAGGGAGGTGGGCCATTCAATCTCTTGGTGTGCAGAGAACTGCACAGTAAGGCATCTACATGTGCGTTACTGCACAGTAACTAATCAGACATAAATTTGATACCTGCATGATGTAGGTATCAAATTTACGCTCAAGTCAGTGTAAGCTACCATATTTACTGCGTAGCACGGGTGCGCATGTGTAGATGACATGGGAGTTAATGTAGACAGCCCAAAAATTTTAATGCAGCTTTTTTTTTTCTTGCTTGGCCAGGTGGAAAGAGTTAGTGTGGAAGAATAGGTTCGCCCTTAAGTGCCCTTGACGGCGCCTGTTTCTGAGTTGGGTATCTATCCCAATAGACAAGCTTCCAAGCTGTGGCTGGCGCTTGTGAACCGAGTGCTATGGAAAACATTAATCAGGCATTCTTCTATTATACTAATAGTCTGCCTGCTAAACAGACCAGCTAGTCAACATTGAATGTTTCCAGACTGGTTCAGGGGATTTCCTCCTCTGGAGCCTGGTCTAGGAATTAGATTGAAAGCAGGATGTACAAGAAGGTAAGAGAAACTTCCAAAATCAAGCCTGATTATGTTCAGGGTCTTGGTTCTGCACCATCAGAATAAAGACTTGTTGATTCCCCTACATCAGGGGATCTCTTTTCTATTGATTTAATTCTGTGTCCAGAGATCTCTTGGAGGGGCCAGAGCTACGTCCCTGCAGTAGTGGTGGACCTTGCTATGAGACAAAGCTGCTGGAGGCAGGGCCAAGGGAGCATTACAGGGGTAAGTGGAAGACTTTTGTTCAGATGCAAATATTCTAATCTGGGGTTGGCATCCTGACGAGCAGGGTTGAGGATTAGCTCATCAGTTCATTCATGCTGCAAGGAACAAGATGGTCCTGCTGTGAAAATCTGCGTTGGAAGTCGGCCAGGTAATATCAGGAAGCTTTTTGCAGCCAGCAGGGGGTTAACCCCTGGCGTCCTGGAGAAACTGTTTTCAGTAATTTCATTCTACGTCCTTGGTTTCTTTCTGCACTGCTTCTCTTCCCATCCCAAAGGATTCAGCACTGGCGCCCCTTGTTTTCAAAGGGATGGCTTTGTGGGTAGCGTGTGTGGGTGTGTTTGTCTGTGTGCATGCACACACATGCTTATGTATAAGCATAATCTCTACAGCGGGTTGTGAAGTGCTTTTGTAACGAACCCGGCCGCGTTCTCACACACCCCACAATCGCCAGCGTGGATCGTAGGTAGGTTATCAAGACCCCCACCATTTGTGCCAAAATAAATATTTGCTAGCTGAGGGATAGTAAGTAATCGGCTTTATAGCCATTGGGATGATGGGAGGGAGAGATGGTTAAATGCCCCAGGCCAGTGCATCTCAACTTCAGAGCCCTCCTGTGTGAAAGGCACTATCTGGAGGCAAGATCCAATGTACGACGTAGGTGTTGCAGTAATACGGCAGCACTGCAATCCTGCTCCAGCAGCAGTGTCTGGCCAATATGCCTCCCCTAAAGCTAGACCATTAGGAGTGGGGCTTGGCTCTAAAAGAACAAGGCATTTACTCCAGATGTTGTCATGCTCATAGCTTCGTGCCTGGAAGGACCTGCTTCCTTCCCATCTATCTGGCTTGTTGATCAGTAATTCCTCCTGCCTTTCTACACTGCAGTTGTGCCGTGAGCATTGGCGTTAGTCATGAGGGTGATAGCATTTACATGGATCTGTATATTTTCAGATTGGCACTTTTAATTCTGGTTGCAGAGGGAAGAAAACAACCAAGACTTGATGAGGAGATTGCTTAAGTCATTAGAAAAAGGCACTGACTATGGTAGATTGCACCCAAGAATGTGTGCGAGTACAAGGGTTTGGCATGTGGCGGTGCCTGTGCTAAAGGAGGCTGGACTCTTCACGTGTCCGGACAGCCTGTAGCATAACAATGGCCCAAATGATGTTTTCAGCAGGGTTGTGCCCTCAGCATTGTTTGCTTAAAAACTGCTACCTGGCTTCATGCGCCCCACCCGCCCAAGGCTGTTGGAAAATGCATTTGCCTCTGGGTAAAGTTAGTTTCAAGGGGTTCTTGTCACAGCCTAGT